CAGAAATAAACTAATCCAGAAATAGACAAGAAGTGAGTGGAGCATGAAATGCGATCTCTATTGGCGATAAAGCTGAAACCAGAGAATGAGGCTTATGTCTGTATAAGAGCGGGTTTCCTTATACCAAGCCCCAGAGTCACACAGACACACCCATCCAGCCACAGACAACAACGGAACACGATGATTTTACAGCCTGCCCTTGTAAAACAGAGCGAGAGGGTGGAGGGGGGCGAGGAAGAGGAGGGAAGTGCATGCTCTCTGTGAGCACCGTATTCCCAAGAGGAGAAGAAAAAGTGCTACCCAGGCTCACTCCCTTGTCCCAAACTCACCAAGTAATCACAGCTCCAGAGATCTAGGTGCAACCAGGAGCCGGAACACAGTAAGTTTAACAGGAGAAGCTGAGACAACTGTGAAATTGGGATAGAGTGACAGAAGCATGTTAAGAGAAGTCTAACGGGCGCCCTAGGGCTGAGGGAGAGGACCCAGGGGAGGACAGGCATGGAAGAGGCCCCCCGGACATTCAGACGCCATTGAAGGAGGTGTGGCTGCAGGCCCAGGGGTGGTGAGAACGTTGGCTGGTTTGTCCGGCCGGAGCCGGGTCAGAATCCCCTGAGAAGCAGGGAACGAGCCTCTGGGACACAAGCCAGGCCAGGCTGGGGAGCAGGTTGCAGAGGAAGCCGGGACCTGCTGCAGGTGCAAAGCCAGGGGCAGTCAGACCTCTGCCGCATGGGAAAGGCCTGGGAACAAGCCTGCGGGAGGCTGGCAAGCTAAGGCGGGTGGAGGGGCATGCCGGGGAGTGTGAGGCACTGCTCACAGCAGGAGGCCCGCCTGCAGCAAGGTGGTCACCAGGCCTCCCGGCTGGGCTGTGAGGGCCTGTGCCTTCTGGGTATGCACACAGAGCACAGCACCACCAGATAACCACATGCTGACACCACACACACACACACACACACACACACACACACACACCCCGACATGTATGTGGCCAGAGCGGGAAGAAAAGAATTTCAGGACACTGGTACCAGGAGGAGAAGCTTTTTCCTCCGGCAACGCCCCTCCGGGGTCCTCTACTGGACGTGCTCGTTCCAAAGGAGAAACGCCGAGCGCCAGGCCACTGCCCCAGAGCAGGTGAGTTTGGAGCCGATCAGAGGCTCCATGACTCCTTGAACTACTCAGCTTCCACATGCACCCTTCTACCAGGTGCGAGTTCCTGTGGATTCTCCAGTGAGTTAGCCAGCACATTAACCTGCGAATTCCTGTACAACAACAAAGCCACAAACTGTGTTTTAGCCTCGCCAGAGGCAACTATCCTCCTACAAGCGAAGCTCTTGCCCTTCTCCCAGATGAGAAAACACAGGCCCCGACGGTCACTGAGTCCATTCTGCCGGCTGCACGGGTTACCGCTCCAATGCAGGCTCGCTCCCCGGGAAGATTCTGTTCATCGAACACGAATGCTGATGTAAAGCTGATGTCCACCAACCCTAACACACACACTCCAAATGGGAAGGAGGGGAAAGAAGAAAAGACGGAGCATACACAAGTGAACATGTCGTGTAATGAGAAAATACGCAAAGCTCCCCCAGGCCTGGCCTTTTTCACTGGCCGCAGTGAAAGCTAATATCTGTCCCCTTGACCGTCCACCCCCCAGGCCGTCCGTCTTTTCCCAGCCCGGAGCCAGCGCTCACAGCTCTGGGTGCCTCACCTGGTGGCCTGATCCAAAGCCTTCTTCTCCAGGGGTCTGAATCCTCAACCATCCTGCCCCTTTCGGGTTCCTGCGAAACCACTAACCTTTGCTGTTGGCGTGAAGCTGTAGGAGAAATTCTATACATTTTCCAGAATTCAGAACTGTCTGCTGGTGCAGGCAAACTGGCAAACTCCCCTGCCGCCACTCAATAGCCGGCCACCGCACCTTCCCAAAGAGCGTTTTCTAACACGGTCCTCTCCTCCGTGTGTCCGTCCGCCATAGCAGCAACCAATTCCCCTTGGCAATTGGGGTCAATCATTCCAACCAGTAGGTTCACCTGCTTTTCGCCTGTTGTTTCAGTAGCATAAGGAGTGCAGATGGCCAGGCGGCCATCTGTGGTAGGCAGCAGTCTGAGATGGACCCCAGGATTCCTGCCCCCCTGGTGTACACACCCTGTATAATTTCTCCTTGTGCAAATATAATCGGATATCACCTCCAGGATTCTGTTAATAGGGCAAAAGGGATTTTGCAGGTGTGATTAAGGTCCCTAATCAGTTAAATAAAATCCAAATGGAGATTATCCTGGGCGAGTCTGACTTACCACGTCAGGCAAGTCTTGCAAGAATTCGTTCCCTTGCCAGTTTAGAAGAAAAGCCCTGTTGTGAGGGGAGGGTCTACACAGCAAGGACCCAAAAGCAACCTCTAAGAGCTGAGAGTGAGAAAATAGGAACTTGCATCACACCGCTGTAAGGAATATAATTCTACTAACAGCAGTATTTAAAAATGACCACAAGACCGTTATCACACTTAAAATACATAATTAGCCCTAGCCAGTTTGGCTCAGTGGATAGAGCGTCGGCCTGGGGACTGAAGGGTCCCGGGTTCAATTCCGGTCAATGGCATGTACCCTGCCTAGTTGCTGGCACATCCCCAGTAGGGAGTGTGCAGGAGGCAGCTGATCGATGCTTCTCTCTCATCGATGTCTTTAACTCCCTATTCCTCTCCTTTCCTCTCTGTAAAAAAATCAATAAAATATATTTTAAAAAATAAAATACATAATTATTTAATATTAACTATCTCATGTTTAAATATCACCAACTAACTTAAGTATCCAAATAACATGCAAACATTGAAATGGGTTGATATATTAAATCTTTTACTCCAAATATTTTTTTTTCTCTTTTTTTGCAATTTGTTGAAGAAACCAAGTTGTCTTTCAAGTTTCCTAATCTGGGTTTGCTGATTATAACCCTGTCAGGTCACTTAACATTTTCTTCTATCCCCTTATTTCCTAAAATTTGATGGTTATATCTGTAGGCTAAATCAGAACCAGGTTTGACTGTTTCTTGGCAAAATGACTTCTTTGGGTAGTATTATGTACTTCCATTAGGAGGCATATAGTCTGGGCTTTCTTTTTGGAATGTTATCAGTCATTAATGATCACTGCTAGATACCTTAATTCATGAGGAGTTGCATGCTCGTGTGTGCACACCCAACCTACTCCCTTCCCACCCCCACCCCCACCCTGCCACACACATACACACACACACACACACACACTACTATAAGGAAAAACTTCCTTTCACCAACAATTTGGTTACTCAGAAATACAGTTCATATAGAAAAAGCAGAATAAATGCTTGGGGGAGGGTGTGCTTTAATGTATCCATTTTTAAAAATAACAATTTAGTTTGCTGGTGCTCTCAAGTTGATCAATGAATTTTATGTTAAGAACATTATATAAAATGAACTCATGCATCTAAACATGTCTGATGCATTTTCAAACCATTGTTTTATCTTTATTAATGCTTCAATCCTGTCATCTTTACCAGTGGGAACCAATTCAAGCTGGCTCTTAGATCCTTGTCTTTGTTTTCCAGTATGCCAAGATGTTCCAGGCTCATATTGTACATTTCCTGCCCCAGAGCTGAAATCCCCCCAAAATTCATAGAGCCTTAGTTCCTTTTAGTGGAAAGGGTATGTAGAAATCACAATCTGGGCATTACTTAATTGGTCATTATTTCTAGGCTTTTTAGTAAACAAAGCTGGAACTTGTTCTGTTCGGTAACTTTATTAAGGTGAAGTACTTTATGAGTTCATATTGATACTTAGAACAGGATTTCCTTAACTTTATCACTCTTGTCACTGGGATCCTTCATCATAATTCTTTCTGAACACAACTGGAATTGGTAGATCTTCCTTTGAATTATACTGCCCCCTTCAACAACTTTTATGGCAATTAACATATCTTCCATTTATTGTTATTTTTTAATATGTATCTTATCCTCCCTACCGAATGGTAAGCAATTTGAGGCCAGAAGACACGTCTTTTTACTTTGTTCAATAAAGGTAAAATTCCTAAAGTGCTAGTGTATTTCCTGACACATAAATTCCTTCTTCTTTATATCTCTCAAAATATGGAACAGTACTATACATAACTTTGTTATGTTTTTATGGTGTGTTCCATTTTTATTTTTTTTAATATATTTTATTGATTTTTTACAGAGAGGAAGAGAGAGGGATAGAGAGTTGGAAACATCGATGAGAGAAAAACATCGATCAGCCGCCTCCTGCACACCCCTACTGGGGACGTGCCCGCAACCAAGGTACATGCTCTTGACCGGAATCGAACCCGGGACCCTTCAATCCACAGGCTGATGCTCTATCCACTGAGCCAAACCGGTTTCGGCTCCATTTTATTTTTTATATATTTGTTTGTTTATTTATTTTAATTTATACTTATTGTTGAAAATATTACAGATGTAATATTGACCCCCTCCATTCCACTCCTGCCCCATTAAAATGAATACATACAAAATTAGGTTTATACTCAACTTTTCAGATGTAAAGTACTAGACACTAATTTTAGTAGGAATTAGGTTAAAGACATTAAATTTATTTGAAATAAGTTTTATTTCACAGATACAAAACAATTTTGAACATTTACAACTTGTACAAAGTCTGGTAGCTTTTATATTTTAAAAAGTGCTTTACTAAGAGAATAGGAAAAAGTAAAGACCGCAATGACATTCTAAATTGTAGGTTCTAGGAATGGGGACACGAAGAAAGTACACATTCTCTCTAACTACACAATCCTCCAACCATCTAAGGGAAGGAGAATGAATAATACTGGACTTATGTGAATTCACACTTTGGTCTGTAAACACATTTAGCTTTTAGATGTCTACCTAAAAATTATATAAAATGTCTACCTAAAAATTATATAAAATGTCTACCTAAAAATTATATAAAATGTCACTAAAATTAGCCAGTCAAAGGTATACTAAAAAGAGGTAGGGAATGAGGATGAAAGAATTTATTTTGGAAGTTCTTCAATAATGATGCGAGACACTGAATTCCACCCAGTAGAGGCATCTCCTTTGGGGTAATCTGAACAAGTACCAACCCAGATAGCAACATCCACTAACCCGGCACCGATTCCTTCACAGAGTCCTTCCACTGCAAAACAAAGAGGAGAGGAACATCTTGAGAGGACAAAGACCTTTAGTTACATTTTCCTACTTTAACAAGCTAAGTAATAAATCCATTTAATGTTACAGTGAACTAAAAATTGTAATACTTAGTGTTTTTTAAAAATAAATTCTGTTTTTCTTAGTACATAAAAACTTTCAAAATACAAATATATTATCCATTCTATGATATAAGCTTAACAGGCATTTTTCTTACAGGTTTTAACCATAAAGCCAGAATTTGCTTAGTTTAGTTACAGAGATGACTTAAAACAAAAAAGCAACTCATTTGATTAAACAAAGGAAGCTTATACTTTTAAAAGTCAATACTTTGGTTTGATTTGCAAGTATTTTTTATTTTAAAAAATTATTAAATTTATTGTGGTGACATTGGTTAATGAAGTTATATAGGTTTCAAGTGTACAAATCTATAATACATCAACTATATATTGTACTGTGTATTCACCATCCAAAGTCCAGTTTCTTTCTTTGTTTTTTTTTTGTTTGTTTGTTTTTTTATAATTAAAGCAGTCTTCTTTTTTAAAAAATATATTTTATTGATTTTTTTTTTTTTCAGAGAGGAAGAGAGAGGGACAGAGAGTTAGAAACATCAATGAGAGAGAATCATCGATCATCTGCCTCTTGCACACCCCCTACTGGGGATGTGCCCACAACCAAAGTACATGCCCCTGACTGGAATCGAACCTGGGACCTTTCAGTCTGCAGGCCGACGCTCTATCCACTGAGCCAAACCGGTTTCGACCAAAGTCCAGTTTCTTTCCATCACCATTTATCCTCCTTTTACCCTCTTCTACCTCCCCCGCCCTCTTTCCCCTCTTGTACTCACCATACTGTTGTCTGTGTCTGAGCTGTTGGGGTCTTTTTTCTGAATCCCTTCACCAACCAACCTTCCCTCTGGCAGCTGTCAGTCTGCACTCTTATCTATGAGTCTGTTTGTTAGCCAATTTCGTCCATTAGATTCCACATGTAAGTGAATCAGATGGTACTTGCTTTCTCTGACTGGCTTATTTCACTTAGTATCATGCTCTCCAGGTCCATCCATGCTATCTCAGAGGGTAAGAGCTCCTTTTTACAGCCAAGTGGTATTCCATTGTGTAAATGTACCACAGCTTTTTTATCCACCCATCTACTGGTGGACTATTGGCTATTGTCAATAACACTGCAATGACCATAGGGGTGCGTGGATTCTTTCAAATCCATGTTTCAGGTTCCTTTGGGTATATTCCCAGAAGTGGGATCCCTGGATCCTCACAAGGCAGTTCCACTTTTAATTTTTTGAGGAAATTCTATACTGTTTCCCACACTGGCTGCACCAGCCCACCTTCCCACCGTCAGGTCACCTTCAATCCATCTTCATGCAGAAACTTAGAAATAACAAATCCCCTCTGACATCCCACCCAACTGATCACAACAGATGAGGCTTCACACCAAGGCTGGGAAATGCATCATGGGCTAACCGTGTGCTGTCCTAGTGGCCTGGACATGACCTTGGACTCGAAACTGAGATGCACTCTGCAATGTCACTAGTCTACCTACCGGAAGAGGTGCGGTGGATGTTAATGGTTGAATTCAGTTCTGGGCTCCCTTGGTCCAAATAAATGATGGCTTCAATGGGAAGAGGCCCTGAACATTCGGCTCCGTTGAACGTGAAATACCAACGCTGGCAGCACGCGCTTCTGCACTTGAGCCGGAGCGAGCCGCTGAACAGGACGCGGAGAGCGCTGTTGGAGCGCATCTTAGTGAACGTGCACTCCTGCCACAGACACAGACCCGGCGCTCCGTTAGCATGGCCAAGTTCATTCAGAACGATGCTCTCAGACTGGACTGTGACTCTCAACTACCCGTCACCCCAAGCTCCATTGAAAAAGTTTCACCGTTAGCATGGCCAAGTTCATTCAGAACGATGCTCTCAAACTGGACTGTGACTCTCAACTACCCTTTACCCCAAGCTCCATTTAAAGAGTTTAACGTTTACAGAGGGAAAAAGATTTTCTGCAAGACAGGGAAGAGACTCTGATATGAAGAACTCTTTACAAAATCAAGTTATGGCGTGCTTTGAATGATTGACCCACTGAAGGTCTTCAGTGTCACCAAAAACAGCTAGTCTTCAGAATTTAGACCAAACCAACCTCTATCTTTTTTTTTTTTTTTAATCTTCATTCCAAAAATATTTCCTGAGCCCTGTGTGCTGGATACTACAGATACAGCAGAACACAAACTAGATTCTCTGTCCTCATGAAACTCACATTCTAGACTAGTACTGTGCATATACACTGAGTGGCCAGATTATTATGATCTCTGAACGCATAATAATCTGGCCACTCGGTGTGTATCCTATAAAATAAAAGACTAATATGCAAATTGTCCCTTTGACCAGGAGTTTGTCCAGCAGGCAGACTGGCCAACCACCCATGTCCCCTTCCCGTGGCCAGGCTGGCCGGACCCCACCCATGCATGAATTCATGCACTGGGCCTCTAAATATATATATATATATATATATATATATATATATATATATATATATATATATATATAGAGAGAGAGAGAGAGAGAGAGAGAGAGAGAGAGAGAGAGAGATTGAGAGAGGCCAGATTATTATGTGTTCAGAAATCATAATAATCTAGCCACTCAGTGTAAGTTTATTCTTGACTTATTTCTATTTGATCAGCAGCATACAGTATCACGGGTTCAAGCCTAGGTGGGGTTTTTGGTCTTTAACTATGTGACACAATTATAAGACCCACATTTCCGCCCCCTCTAACTGGTCTTCGCAAAATCCATCAATCAGTTGGTTCATGGCCCTATCTTTTACTTGCAGAAGGCTCCCAAACCCTTCTGAGCACTGATAAATGGAACTTGAAAACATATTAATAATTCAGAGACCATAGGGATAGCTTTTGGAAAGAACTCAGCAACTTTCAATGAACTACAACTTAATAACTGGCCTGTCAACGTCAGGTGTTTAAAGAAGTAGGCAATATTTAAACAAAATGCTTCCTAAGAAATCACAAATGAAACTAAAAATGGTCACGGTCACCAAAACCATGGAAGAACTTTTATGGAAATTCTATCACACGAAAATCAAATCAAGACAGTAGCAAAGTTTTTTATAGACAATACGAGAGGCCTGGTGCACGAATTCGTGCACCAGTGGGGTCCCTTGGCCTGACCCCTGGGATCGGGCCAAAACTGGCTCTCCAACATCCAAGATCCCAGATTGCAAGGGGGCACAAGCCAGGCTGAGGGACCCCACCAGTGCATGATCAGGCCCAGGGAGAGACATGGGAGGTTGGCCAGCCAGAGGGGGATTGAGGGAGGGCTCCAGGGCATGTCTGGCCTGTTTTGCTCAGTCCTGATCAGTTGCACCCCAGCAACAAGCTAACCTACCAGTCAGAGCGTCTGATCCCTGATGGTCAGTGCACATCACAGCAAGCAGTCAAGAGGCCTTAGCATATCATTAGCATATTATGCTCTGATTGGTTGAACAGCTGACTGGTTGACCAGATGACCGGACACTTAGCATATTAGACTTTTATTATATAGGATAGCAGACATTTAATAGCTGATATAAGGATCAGGGATAGCACATACAGATGAAAACCTTAGAGTTTTATGAAAATAAAGTCTCTTCTATTTGCCTAGTGACAGTAGTGTAATATATTGAAGTAATATCATGAAGTAATATACTGTGGAAATGGATCCGTGTACAGAGTTGGTTCACGAAGGGAGAAAGGCTTAGAAATAACACCAACTTCTTCAACTCTGTGAATCCCAGTGGACTTGCCCGTTACTTTGGAGGCAAACACTGCTCAAAGTGACTGAGTCATCAATCAAAATGCTCCGCCAGCCTGGCTATTTTGAGTAACTTGGCTCCCACGTGTTGAAGAATAATGTGCAATGGTCCCGGGAGTACATCTCTGGTCCATTCCACTTGTATCAGGGTGAGCAGTTTTAAGTGAGGCCAGCTACCCAGAATAAGGACAAATAGCAAGGGCCTTGCCACTTCCAGATAATTCCCATCATGGGATACACGTCGTGGAAATTCCTCCCACCCTTATGTCCCAGTACCACGGATTCAAGCCTAAAATTATGATCAGGAGAATTTCTTAGACTAACTTAAATTTACTTCAGGATAGATTGGAAAGATGCTCACTGTCCAATCTTGTGGACATAGACATGCATGCTCTCCCTTTTTGTTTGCACTTAAAAAAAAAACAGAGTAAGTTATTTGAGGTTATTAGGATTAAATGTTTTAGAAATATCTTTATAAATTAACTATGAGATGTTACCAATTTTTCTCATTAATTTTAAATCAAAGTTGCATGGTACCTCCTTAATTTTAAAAAATTATTTTGGTAAAAATAAATAACATAAAATCTCACCTAAAATTAACACTTAACTATGAAAACCCGTAATGTGTGTGTGTGTGTGTGTGTGTGTGTGTATGCCTGTGCGTGCGTGTGTGTATGTCCATGTGTTGTTGTTGATGTTCTGTTAGTCCTCATTTGAGGATATTTTTTTCCATTGAGTTTTTAAAATATATTTTTATTGACTTCAGAGAGGAAGGGAGAGGGAGAGAGAGATAGAAACACAATGATGAGAGGGAATCATTGATCGACTGCCTCCTGCATGCCCCCTACTAGAGATTGAGCCCATAACCTGGGCATGTGCTCTAGGCTGGAATCGAACCCAGAACCTTTCATACCGCAGGCTGATACTCTATCCACCGAGCTATACCAGCTAGGGCTCCTATGATATTTAGAGAGACTAGTATGGAGAGAGGTATGAGGAGGGAGACAGAAAGAGAGAGAGAGAAACATTGATGTGAGAGAGACACATTTATTGGTTGCCTCCTGCAGGCGCCTGGACTATGGCTGGGGACCAACCCTTCAACCCAGGCACATGGCCCAGTCTGTGAATCGAACCTGCAGCCCTTCGGTGCATGAGCCGATGCTCTGACCACTGAGCAACACCAGCCAGGGCTGAAAACCTTTACTCTTTGCTTCAACTTCAGAATAGTTCCGATTTTACTTACCGCAATTTTCCCAAGATCTATGCCGTAATTCAGCGAATTCCACGAGCACTGCTTGTAGTTCGGTGTCCAGGACTCCTCGAAGGTCTCCCTCAGGCATTCCCCCTTTTCTCCTTTGAATCCATCCCGACCCGGGATCCCCGGGGTGCCGGGAATACCATTGGCCCCAGGGCTCCCATCTCGACCAGGAACGCCTGCAGGCCCTTGTAAGCACATTCCGTTATACTAGACCAGGGTGGGAAAGAAAGGAAAAGAAACGCTCACCACTGACGATTCAAAGACTCGACCTGATTAGAACTGCATTTCTTTTGAGTCCTTGGAGGCAAGAATCCTTTCATACCCCTTGCCCGTGTTCTAGACCAGTGTCGGCAAACTCATTGGTCCACAGAGCCAAACATCAACAGGACAACGATTGAAATGTCTTTGGAGAGCCACATTTTTTAAACTTAAAACTTCTTCTCACGCCACTTCTTCAAAATAGACTCGCCCAGGCCGTGGTATTTTGTGGAAGAGCCACACTCAAGGGGCCCAAAGAGCCGCAGGTGGCTTTGTGAGCCACGGTTTGCTGACCACTGGTCTAGACAAGTTATAGAGAACCGACTTTAAAATTATTTCTAAAATACTGTGATTTCTTTACATTGCACAGACTTTACACTTTTTTACATGGAGGACGTGTCACAGGGTAACCCTTCTGAGCAAACCCTTCCTCCCCCCACTTCTCCTCCCTGAGAGGGAGCAAATGACCTTATTGAAGGTGACCACTAGCCTCCTACAGGGTGGCAGTGACTCTTAGACATCTTAAGGATTCTCTGTTCTCCTTGGCGGGGAGAGCAGCGGCGTGTCATGCAGCAGTTGAATGCATGGGTTCTGGAGCCTGGTTCTCTGGATTTTAATCCGGACTCCACCACCACCAGCTCTGTGAGACAGAGCAAGCTGCTTGATATGCCAGTGCCTGCTTCCTTGTCTGTAAAACTAGAGGCTTGGTGCATGAAAGTCATGTACTGGGAGGGGGGAGGGGGTTGTCCCTCAGCCCAGCCTGCACCCTCTGCAATCTGGGACCCCTTCGGATCGGGCCTACACCAGCAGTCGAACATCCCTCTCACAATCTGGGACTGCTGGCTCCTAACGACTCGCCTGTCTGCCAGCCTGATCATCCCCTAACTGCTCCCCTGCCAGCCTGATTGACACCTAACTGCTCCCCTGCCAGCCCAATCACTCCCAACTGCCCTCCCCTGCAGGCCTGGTCCCCGCAACTGTCCTCCCCTGCAGGCCTTGCTCCCCCCAACTGCCCTCCCCTGTAGGCCTGGTCGCCCCCAACTGCCCTCCCCTGCCAGCCATCTTGTGATGACATGGGGGAAGGAGGGTCAACTTGCATATTACCCCTTTATTATATAGGATGGGGGAAGTATTAATAACAAAGGTTCTCACCGTGTAGGGTTTGTATGAAATGTGAAATGACATACAAAGTGCTTAGCAGTGCCTGGTACCCAGTGAGCACTGCATATGTGAGCCATGGTTACTCTCATGATTCCCCCACGAGTATCTGAGGCAGTGACTTGGGGCAAGTGTGACCACTCCCTTGGGTGGACCTTACCAGGGTCTAGATCTGGAGAGGAGAGCATTAGCAAACCCTCCAGGTAACACACAAAAGCCACACACATCACTGAAATGGGTTTGGCTCAGTGGATAGAGAGTTGGCCTGTAAGGTCCCAGGATCAATTCCAGTCAAGGAAGGGCATGTACCTTGGTTGCGGGCACATCCCCAGTAGGGTGTGTGCAAGAGGCAGCTGTTCGATGATTCTCTCATCGATGTTTCTAACTCTCTATCCTTCTCTCTTCCTCTCTGTAAAAAAATCAATTATATATATATATATATATATATATATATATATATATATATATATATATATATTTTTTTTTTTTTTTTTTTTTTTTTTTAAGCCACACACGCCAATGTAGTTACCTTGGTGGGAAAGGTGGTGTTTGGATCCCCATCTGTCTAATTCCTGAAGGGGTCCACTGATGAGACCCTGCAAATCTAGACCCCATCCACTTACATTTTTACTTGAACAGTTTCCCACTTGTGTAGACTGTCACCATCCACAATGCTATACAAACACACTATCATTCTATATAAATACATTGTCCAATCAGAACAAAACACCAGGTTTCTTATCTATTAAAATAACTTCAAACCTTACCGTTTATGTCCCCCCTCTGGGAACAGACATGGTCGTATCCTAAAATCCAATAACGACACCTTATGCCTCTAATGTTTGCCAATCAATTTGCTTTTCACACCAGCAATTTGATTTTTGTGTTGACAGATGACTATGGTGACTATATTCTAAAACAGTGTAGTTAATAGTAGACAATTTTCATTACAGAAATTCCATTCACTTACGCTAGCAGACACATGTAATGTTTGGACACAGATGTCTAGTGAGAGAGGAGAATCCATAAGACGCCTGGTACCCTTTGATTTCTTGGTTGTCATAGCTTGGAAGGAGAGATTGCTCTTAGCCCCTAGAGGCTAGGGATGATGCTAAAAACTCTGCAATGCCCAGGGCAGTCCCCACAACAAAGAATCATCTACCCCAAAATGTCAACACTGCCATGGTTGAGAATTTCTATTCGCCTTTTCATCTAAAAATTGCATTTCCGAGACCACATAATTTTATTGAACTTGGTTTTACAGGTATCACCTCAGTCTTCTTTCCCTTTAAAATGTTATCTCGGCCGAAACCGATTTGGCTCAGTGGATGAAGCGTTGGTCTGTGGACGGAAAGGTCCCAGGTTCGATTCCGGTCAGGGGCATGTACACTGCGTGCGGGCCCATCCCCAGTAGGGGGTTGTGCAGGAGGCAGCTGGTCGATGTTTCTCTCACCATCGATGTTTCTAGCTCTCTATCCCTCTCCCTTCCTCTTTGTAAAAAAAATCAATAAAATATATTTTAAAAATAAATAAAATAAAATAAAATGCTAACTCAGCCCACCTTGAGCACCTACCAGGGAGAGGTAAAAACATCTGTGGAATGAGCCCGTTTCTTTCACCGGACTGACCACCAGGGGGCAGAACTTGCTGGAAGCTTAAAAGAAACCTTTGAAAGATGCTGTACAAAGAAGCTGCTTTCTAGAGTCTGTTGAAACTTTTCTAAGCGGACATTTCTCCCCTCTCACTCCCCCGCCCCTGCCCCCATCCTCATCCCCACCCTCCACCCCCCAAGCAAAACCAAACCCCATCTCCAGGCTGCACCTGAGCCGGCTGCCCAGTGAGCTTTTCCGAGTCGGGCTGGGGTTGTGGGAAACCGCAGGTGCCGTAAATCTTGGGAGGGAAAGGGAAAAATTGCTAGCTCCGTGGGGGAAAGGGTTAGGTTGTCTGTCATAACTACAAATTCACAAAAACGCACACTTCACAGGAACCGCATTCAGCTGGTACAGTTTAAAGCAATTCGGGCGTTTAAAACTGAACAGCAGCGCTGAACACAACTCTGCTTTGTGGGACACAATTACACGGCACATCACCAGAAAGTGCCGTGTGGCATGACAGGGATTTTTTTTTTTTTCTTTCCCCAGAGCTTTTGGATTTGGTCTACAGCTCGCTGCCAGGGACCTTGGTTTATTAGCTGAATTTACAAGGGCAGCTTCACATAGACAAAACAGGTTGGTTTGGTTTTAAAAAACTGTCCCCTCTTGTGTCTTGCAATGCCTGTGCACCGTCCTTGTTTGCAATGAGGGCTGGTTTAAGGACTGGAGATAAGAGGTGCCAAGGAATAGGGAGCTGGGAAAGGACCACTCTTGCCCTTCCCCAGGCTTATTGGCTTCTCGAGGGAAAAAGCCTTAAGCAAACCCACTTTCCCACAGATGGGCCCTTCAGAAGCCACTTGGGGGCCTTATTTGCTCTCCTGAGAACCGCCTTCTCCCTCAGCTCAGCTGCGAGGCTGGTCCCTGGTGCCCCCTGGGGAAGGCCTTCATGGTTCTGGCTGCCCATCTGGCCACACAGAACCATGGAGCAGGGCCTTGGAAGGTCAGTGCTGGGCCCTTCGCTTCCCCTTCCGGCCACAAACCCTCCGACCCACCCCGGGCCCCGCTGTGGTCTCCAACCAAGCAAATTGCAGCCCATGTTTGCTGGGAGGAGGACCACGGTCCTCAAGTTTCAAAGCGCCATTGGGCGGCTCTGCCAGGGTTTTCACTCCCCTCTCCCCGCGGGCAGACGTGGCCACCAGCCCCAACCAAGGCCACGTTGCAGGTCCGGCCCGGCCCCCCCTTGGGGAGCAGCTGACCCGGGGGTCTCCCAGCAGCTCCCGGGCCCCCGTGCCCACCTCCCCGAGCTCCCCACCCGCCTCTCGGGGCTGCTCTGAGCCTGTGCATCCTCACAACCTTGCAATGCAGGTTGATTTAAGGATTGGCGATAAGAGGTGCTAGGGACCATGCGAGCTGTGCAAGGACCACTCCCCAGGGGCCTGTGGATTTTAGAGGGGAAAAGCCTTAAGCAAACCCATTTTCCCACAGATGGGCCAGACATCACTGGGCAAATCCCTGTCCTTTGGGGCATCCCACCCGTTGGATGTCGCATCTTTGAATAAACGTGACCTTCTCCCCCTCCCCCTGCCTCCCCACCCATTCTGGCCTCCCCTGAGCGCCCAGGGCAGCAGCCACCCCGTGCAGCCCAGGTCCTTCCCTGCACGTGGACTCGCACAAAGCAGGACACCCAGGCGCACGCGAGTAAGGCACGCGCGCACACACACTCACACAGGCGCACACGCACCTTGCACAGACCATCACACACACACACACACACACACACACACACACACACGAACAGGCACACGCACACGCACACGCCCCTGGCCCAGCCCCCGCCCGCGCTCACCAGGTCCACCACCTCCCGCGGCCGCAGCGCCTTGGGCTTGGCCTTGGCGGGCTCGCTGGCGCCGGGCGCGGGCAGCAGCAGCAGCGGCAGGAGCAGCAGCAGCGGCAGCGGCAGCCGGAGGCCGGGGCGCCCGGGCCGGGGGGCGGCGGCGGGGCGCTGGGGGCGCATGGCGCGCGGCGGGCGGGCGGACGGACGGACGGACGGACTTCGGAGGGAGCAGGAGCAGGAGCTGGAGGAGCCCGGAGCGCGGACGCGATCAGAGTCCGGCCCGGAGGCGGGCGCAGGCTGCATCAATGCGCCTTTCACCGCTCCCGCCCCGCTCCCTTCCCCCCTGGACGCCCGGCGTTTCCATCCCGTCACAGGCCGGAGCCCCCACCCCTGGGCCCGCCTCCTCCCGCCCGCCCTCCGGCCGCGGCTCGGCCCCCGGGACCCCCGCCCGCGGGGCCGGGCAGACCGCGTGGGGAGCCTCCTGCGAAGGGGGGTGGCCGTCCTCCCGGGAGCCACGCGTGGAGACTAAGGGCGGGCGTGGAGATTGAGCGCCTAAGTGATCATTGGAGAGGCTCATACCATCACCTGGGTTCAGGGGCCGCCTTCAGGGGTTGCCAAAGCTGGCATCTGCTGCAAGATCTTTTCGGCGGTGACTTCTTTTGGTGGGGAGGAGAACCATGAGTGTCATCAGGTTCTCCCCAGCTCCATCAAGAACTAAGAACCGCTGTTTAATAACAAATGCCAACACTTGCTAAGCTCCAGGAACTATGCAGTCTTTCACTATTTAGACTCCCTGTCCATTGAGTGGAGTCAGTGTGTGTGTGTGTGTGTGTGTGTGTGTGTGTGTGTGTGTGTGTGTGTGTGTATGGGGGGGGGGGGGAGAGGTGTGAGGGGGAGCTACCTCCTCTGCTTGCCCCGTTCACAGGTGAGGAAAATGATGATGCTCAGGGAAGTTAAGCAGCATTCAGTGGTAGAAGTTCCCTTTTGAGAAATCACTGTTGATTTCTGATGGATATATTTTTCTAGCCTTCTCTGACCCCCTTTCACCTGTCCCCTATCCATTCTGGAAGAAAGCATTCTGGGGGACCCAGGCCCCCCACCAGGGAGGGTCAGGAGCTTCTTGATGCACCACTGGCTCGCCTCGGGCAGGACGGAACCCTTACACACCTGTAGCCAGCCACATGGCAGTTCCTTTTGGCAATGCTGCTGGGGTCAAATTCAACTCGGCAGCGTTCTCTTTGGAGGCCCAGCCAGGCTTCTGGAAGTCCTGGTGGGCTCCACAGATGGAGATTCAAGAGGAGGAACCGTTTGGCAGGGGACGGTTCTAGAGAAGCCTGGGCCAGTATGGAGCCACGGGTAAATTGCAGTCCTGTTTATTACAAGAGGCAAATATCCAAATGGGTGCCAGAGCCAGAGCTGTCTACATACTTTGCCCAGCCCAGTGCAAGATGAAAATGCATGGTCCTTTGTTAAGAAATTATTAAGAATTTCAAGACTTTGTCAACAGAACAATACACTAAGTGCGGGATCCTTCAAACTGCAGCTGCACAGGTGGCTCCCGTAGGAGACCAGCCATGTGTAAAGCTAAACAACGTGCATCCAGCCGATACCCTCCCACAGCCAAAACCCTCTGGGGGCAGCAGGCTACAGGCTGGAGAGGAGAGGAGGCACCACCAGAGAGTCTGTCTAGCCGATCATAGTTCCTGCTCCTGATCCTCTCACCAGTGACTTCAGATGGGCCCTCTCTGTATAAATTTGGGAAACAGATTGGAGTTTCAGCAAAAGAGCTATTTCCTGTATTAACATTCATGCACTTTGCCGAAACCTGTTTGGCTCGGTGGATTGAGAGCGTCGGCCTGTGGATTGAAAGATCCCAGGTTCGATTCCGGTCAGGAGCATGTACCTAGGTCGTGGGCATATCCCCAGTAGGTGGTGTGGAGGAGGAGCTGATTGATGTTTCTCTCTCATCGATGTTTCTAGCTCTGTATCCCTCTCTCTTCCTCTCTGTAAAAGATCAATAAAATATATTTTAAAAACACATTCCACAGCAACTCCAGCAGGGCTGGCGAGAGTGTTCCCTGGCTGCCACTTGGGGCAGGACCGAGCTGGACCACTGCTTAGTGATTTTCTAAGCATTTTTACCTGATATGTGTAAACACACTCTCTCTCTCTCTCTCTCTCTCTCTCTCTCTCTCTCTCTCTATATATATATATATATATATATATATATATATATATATTAGCTATTATTATAAAAATAATAAAACTAGAGGCTTCTATATAAAGTTAAAGGAAGCCACGATTTAATAGAAGACAATTAACCTCTACATCAGCTGTGTCATTCAAGATCAGCTTAGAAGACAGAAACCACTCTGAGTATTTCCAACAGAAGGAATTTAATGTAGGATATTGACTCCGAAGGCTAGCTCAGTAGGGGACAATGAAGCAACCCAATATTGTCCATACCATAGCTGTCAGCTGCTACCATCTGTAAGCCAGAGAGAGCAAAGTGACCCATCGAAGCGGGAATCATGGTGAGCTTATCCAATGGAAGCTGGAGCCATGAAAAGAGAGGGAGCCCCGCCAGAGAAGGAAGATGGGGAATACCCCGGCATCTTCTCCCCTCTTCCCACCCGCCAATCTCCAAAGGCAGCCAGAGGCACCTGGGACAAGAGCCTGGGAACAGCCTACGGAGGTTGGTCAGCCTTGTGTGGCGCAGAGCAGAGCAGCAGAAGCCCAAAGACTGGATGTGAGGGCAGATAGTACTGATGCATCCTGCCACCAGGGGCTTGAATTTCTCCCTCTCCTAGCTCCTGATCCCACACAGTCAGCTCTAGAATCTGACATGCGGTGGTTTCGTCTGCATTCTCCAGTGTCTAAATCATCGGACTGTTCACAGCAGCACTAACTGGTTCATCTCTCCACATCCTGCACGAATAAACAGTCCGTATATAGCACACTCGCCATCTCATGAGTGAGTGGGGTTTTTATAGTTCTAAGGAAAAGGAAAGTGGGTGGGAAATTATAGAACCTAAATATCATGAAAGATGAGTGAAAGTCCCTCAAGGTGACCATGGTATGTGCATTTTATTTTATTTATATTTTAAATATATTTTATTGATTTTTTACAGAGAGGAAGGGAGAGGGATAGAGAGTTAGAAACATCCATGAGAGAGAAACATCGATCAGCTGCCTCTTGCACACCCCCTACTGGGGATGTGCCCGCAACCAAGGAACATGCCCTTGACCGGAATAGAAACCTTTCAGTCCGCAGGCCAACACTCTATCCACTGAGCCAAACCAGTTTTGGCTGTAAGTGCATTTTAAATGCATCCCTTTATAGTTGTGCTTGTTGTACAACTAAAGCTGACTCTTTGCAGGGCTTGAGGAAAAGCACTGGTCAGTGTTAGACCTGGAAGAGGTACCAGAACACCTCCTTTCTTCTGAATCATGGCAGCTACATGCTTGCTCCTTGGGGAGTCTTTCATTCCCCCTAGAATTTTCTTCCCTTTTCTTAGGTTGCTCAATGCCGTGCCCTTCCTTTTCCCCTTCATGATGCTCCGCGCACAGAGGGTTTGCAATCAGCATCCTCCGAACAGACACTGCATTGTAAGAAGCCCTCCGAAAATGGTTCACCAGGGCGGTCTGTTTTGAAAATAGCTAAGATTAAAGACTTCTCTGGGCAGTTCAGATGGCTTCTTGCAGTCTGCGTGTCTCCTCCGAGGCACAAAGAATGGCCTGTCTTATGATAAAGGAAAGCCAAAGTAAGCAGGATATTTGGATTACATCTTAAAACATTTAGGTTTTATGAAATCTACCCAGCTCTCCTGTCTCCCTACACCAGGCTTTCTGGTTCTGTTTCCCCTGGCAGCTCCTCCTCAGTGTTAAATGTGATTATTTTGTTGATATAAAGTCAGGCCATTGTAATCTAAGTTGAAACAGACCAGTGATATTAATCTCCTCCCTCACCTATCAGAGTTTAAAAAAAAAATTAAAAAAATTAAAAATATATATATATATATATTGATTTTTTTACAGAGAGGAAGGGAGAGGGATAGAGAGTTAGAAACATTGATGAGAGAGAATCATTGATCAGCTGCCTCTTGCAGACCCCCCCCCCCCCACTGGGGATGTGCCAGCAACCAAGGTACATGCCCTTGACCAGAATTGAGCCTGGGATCTTCCAGTCCGCAGGCCAACAATCTATCCACTGAGCCAAACCAGTAACGGCACTATCAGAGTTTTTATTAAGTGACAAATGCAATTCCACCTCTCCCCAAACTGTCCAGTAGAGAACGCTAAACAGTGACAAAATGGGACTTGACTGGGGGCAGGAGGGAGAAAAAGATCAAGACGTTTGGATACAAATCAAGAAATGGGTAACTGTCCAAAGAAAGGAGCAAGAGCTAATGGAATAATCATTGTAATTGTGGCATAAAATTAAAATGAAGTCTAGGCAAACTCCCTTCCCATGTTCCTTACCATGATTAGAAAATATCCCTCTGAGAATATTATTAGATACACTGGCAGTCTTATCAGAAACACCCTCTCACCACCTTTGCCTTCTAGCTCTTGGCTAGATTAATTATTTCTATTTTTATGGACACTGTTGACCCCTTCATTTATTTATGGAGTCTATAGAAGGCATGCTTTGCAATTCAAAGATGACCTAAAGCTCAGAGATATAGCTCAAGCTGTTTGCACCAAAGGCAGGTGGAGAAGATCTACGTGGTGGCAATTTCTGAGAAACAGATCAGGGTGGATAGGTCTTGGGTGTGTGTGTGTGTGTGTGTGTGTGTGTGTGTGTGTGTGGTGGGAGAGAGGGGGAGGTGGAAGGGAGGGAAAACAGGGGGGAATACTGAATTAGTCACTTGGTAAATGAAAAAAAAATTATTTTCAGAACGCACAGAGAAAATAACACGTGACACAGCAAGAAGATGGCCATCTGCAAGTCAAGGAGAGAGACCTCAGAGAAAAACAAAACAGCCGACACCTCGATCTCAGACATCTCTCCTTGAGTACTGTGGGGAAATAAATGTCTGCTGGGTAAGCCACCCAGCCTGAGGTGTTGTGTCCCGCCCGCCCAAGCAGATGAAGACAGGTCCACCACCCAGCACCGATGTCGTGACCTCTTGAGACAGACTTGCACTCAGAGGGCTGGGATGGTCACGTGTTCCCGC